CACATGAGTTTTATCAAGAGGAATAAGCATGTTACTGACCAGGGAAAAGTTTAAAGAGCATTTGAGAGTTTTTTCTCTTGCTTTGAAGATGAATTTGAACATTAATATACAGACGGCAGTTACTGGGTTTTAAATAGCATCCACTGGTGATGTCAAACATAAGACGTGGAGGCCAGAATTGGCCCAGCCAAGACTCCAATCCTGCCCACTGGCCAGCTTTGAGAAGGAATGCATAGATTTTGAACTTTTAACTGTATTTTCATAAGTTTTACAGGTTTTCCAACTATGCCCCTCAACCCCAGTTCCATTACTACTAAGCTAAAGTAATTAAATAATAGATAAACAGTTATATTACAGAAAAGTTCCAGTTTCTCCACTATGTACTATAACAATTCTGTGTTTTGTTTTGTTTTTTGGATTCTGTTACATTGAGTCCATGAATTCACATTTTCTTATAATTACAGGACAGTCTGGTTAATGAATTGGCAGAACCTTTTCTGTAGAATCTTTTCTGTATTTTATGTAAAAAAATGTTTTTACTCATCCCACCCACTTATGATCAAAGTATACAGTATGTTGTCTTCAGTGTAAAATGTGATTGACACCACTGGTTTAAATTGTAAGTCTTTGTCTTTTAACCTCAACAATCAACAACAGCAACACATCCACATATATTCCATGTTGTTTACTGCACAACTGATGGATGTTCAATAAATAATAACTACTTAATAAATAAAGCACAAGTGTGATTATTGATATTTCTTTGTTTTTTGACTCAATGGATATAGTAACAGAATGATTGGGGCTCTATGGTATGGCTCTTCTAAGATGAAGTTTAGTTGAAGTTTAGTTCACAGCACACACTGGGCATCAGCATCACATCATACCACATTGCAGCTTTTCTACATGCAAGATAGTCTGCAGAATTTTAATGTAAAATATAATGCTTAGATGCAGGGTTCCTTTGGCGGTATTGTGTAAGAGTAGATTTACAGTTCAACTTCCCACAAAAAATGTTTCAAGGAGTTGTTTTACAAAAAAAAAAAGTTAGGACTTTTCTGCTGCAGTGGCTGCTATTGTCCAGGACCTATGCATTTAAAATGCTGTGATGGTTGGAGCTATAATATAAACATAAATACATAAATATTTGGAATTTTCGGTCTTTCTGGTTTCTATTTTAAATTAGTTTTTGCATCTATGTATTAATTCTTTTTGTCTGCCCTGCTGTTTGCAATACTGCATATTCCCTATTAACGTTCATTTAAGTAATCTATCCATCCACCCAACCAATAGATCTCGAAAAACAATTAGCTACTTCCTGGAGTTTTGCAGCACGTGACTTTTGTGGGCGGGCTGTGCCATTAAGGCTTGTGTCCCTCCCACAGCAAGGGGGCGGGGACGTGGGAGGCACTGCAGCCAATCGCTGCACGGATCCCGCATTACAAATCCCCTAAAAAGGTGGAACTTCCGAAATAAACCCTCGCCCACGACAGGCGGAGCTGCAACAGCAGCCCGGGATTCCTCCCTCCAGCCCAGGCAGAGGATTCAGCTGCGACCATCGGCAGCAGCACACACATACACACGCACAGCTTCACTATCCCGAGTTGGTTCCCCCCCCCCGTTATAATTACACCCATCTCCACGAACGCTCCAAACCGAACAAAAAGCGTAACATTAAAGTGCTCCCCTTTAAGTTCCCATCTGGATGAAACGCGGAGACAGCCCCAGCACCGAGGCGCACAGCTAGCAGGACCAGCCAGCCCGTCTGCACCGCGCACTCGCTCGGTCGACGCTGGCTGCGGAGTCCACAAACAAAAGGGTTCGCGGCACTAAAACACTCACTCACTCGCGGTTTGTTTTACGCGAGTACCGGTGGACTGGGAGATTCAGTGGGGCCTCGGCGGCCAGCACGGCGGCTTTTACGGACAGAAAGAGCCGATCCGGTCGTCCTTACTAAACAATGCCAAAGTCAAACGAAACGAGAACTACGGCGGAGCTGTGTGGCAATACCGGAGCCACGCCATTCTCCACTTCCCCCCCTCTCCCTCTCTCGGGTCCCGCAGACAGGACCACCGCGCGTATTGCAGCTCTCTTTGTTTACTTCACTAGTCGGGAGTAAAAATGTCTAACCTGTCTCACCACAACAACTACACCCCCCTCCCCTCCTTCCCCCTGCCGATCCATTACACGCTCACACAACGCTGCAGACAAAAATGCTTCGACTCGCAGACAGAGGGGATGCCTCAGATGGTGTCCACACAGCCCCGGGAGGCTGTTTACTGGCCGACATAATGCCATCCCGCACATTTAAGCAGCCAACACCTTAAGAAGCTGGCTATTCTGCTGCCGTTTACTCGCGAAACAAGAGCCTCGCAATTCATTTACGCGCACAAAATAATAAGAATGTTAAAAAAAAAGCCACCACTGACACCAGACCGCCCTCAGATCCTTCGCAACAATCACACTCATCGTAAGGCAGCGACACTCTTGATATTATTTAGTTTAAGCAGCCGTTACATACCCAGTAAAAAGACTCCTTACTCCGGATTCGTGTTTGTAACAAAATAGTTGGACACGCCCCCTCTCCACTGGCATTGGCGCAAACTGGAAGACACGTCACTCTGCGTTTGAATATGACCCGCTAAAAACCGAGGCAGCATCGCAGGGAAACAGCCTCCTCTCCACCACGCGCAAAACCTGCAGTTCCGATACTGGTGGAGGATTACCGAGGGCGGCGGTGGGGGTGTCAAGTTCATTTTACACCGCGGGCCACACGAAGCTCTACCAGTAAAAGTCGGCTTTCTGTCAGTGTGAAGAACTGGACTTAATCACGGAGATATTTGAAGGAAGGAGAAAGAAATGCAGTGTCAATTCTGTATGATAAAGAAATGCTGCTTAAACTGTAAGAAATAAATGTGTGAAATTACTGAAAAGTTCTGTAATTGAGCTCATTGCGCAGACTGTTCTGTAATTATAAAGGAAAAAAATATTTTTTTGTTTTAATACTGTCTACAATCACAATGCCTTAGTAGACATTGAAAACAGCAACCTTCCTCTTATTTAATATTCTATAGCTATATAGTTATTTCTGCACTTTGTAAGCCCCGTATCAATGCTATATAAAGGAAGAGATCATATTGTCTCTACGATTGTATTTGTGGCGAGAAACTACTTTTTTTTTAAAAGCTATGTTTGCTATTAGTTATTGCCAATAAATGCGCAGGGAGAAAATCTGGGTCACTCTGAGGGATCGTTGCTATTTTTGGATAAAAAAAAAAAAGTGTTCAATTGGGTAAAGATTTGGTCACTGCTTAATTCACATGATTTTTCATATAGACTTAATAGCCATTTTTTTTAGATACACTTGTTCAGAATCTGGTAAATCTCTTTATCAGCGAGTCATAGGGGCAGCTCAATGCGTTTAGACATGGTCAAGTTCAAACTGACATAATGGGGAAGAGAAGTGATTTAAGAGACTTTGGACGTGTCATGGATGGGCTGGTCCCAGTATTTTCGAAACTGTGGATCTTCTGGGATTTTCTCCATACACATACTAGCAAAGTGTAACTTTATGAGCTTCTTCAATAATGTATTCAGATACTTGACTTGCTTTAAAAAAATAAAATAATTAAGAGTGCTTTCTGAAGCTTCTGATAAATTACAACCGAACTTAAATATCAGTTTGCTCAAGCTTGTGCGATTTGTTGCTTACAATGTAGAGGTCTCAAAAACTCGTGTCAAATGATACATTTGGTATCAAGAGGATTATACCATTGATTTATTACAGCAAAAATGCAGCTGGTGGTTCGAGGGTCATCACTCTCTGCAAATATGAAACCAGAGAAGTTGGGTAGTGATGAAAAAAAATATCCCCAGCGCTTACAGGTGGATGCAGGCATGGTGAAGAGGTTGAAACAACTTAAGCAGACCAAGAGATTGGAAGGGTTTTGGTATGAATTGAGAGTGAGGCATGCTGCTGTGCATGATGCAATGCAGGTTGAGTTTTCTGCTTAAACTAGCCTGCAGGTTTTGCTCCAGTTAATGTACAGCAATAACGTTTTTCCTCAAGAAGCTGAGCGCAGTGAACGGGAACCAAGTCAATAAAGTTGCCTTATGGGTTTGACAACAGCAGCATACCATTAAATCTGCTCCGTTGTGCAGCTTTCAAATCGTTATTTAAAATCAGAAAAACTGATTCATGCGCACGATGTGAGAGACATCTTTTATTCCTAGCTTTACTTTTATAATTGCCATGTTTTCATTTATGTCATTGCATTAAGTACAAGACTGAAGCTGCGTTTGTCGACACAATGATAGGCTACCATATTCAGTGAAGAACAGTAAAAGTGCCGCTTTGAAAGCAAAGAAACACACCGCCTGTACAAAGACACAGGTTGGCATAGGTTTTTTTTTTTAAATTTTATTTAATACAGTATAACTTTAATCACTAGTCATACGAATGATAAACAGGTTATAACAGAACAAATATAAAATTAATGTAGATAATTGTATAATCCTAGCTAATCGTATGAAAACAGCTGTTGAATAATAGAAAAATAAAATAGCGCACATTTGTGTTCATCATTGAAAGGAAAAGTCTACAAAAAAAAAAAGTACACAGGGATGGCAGACAAAAAAAAAAACAAAACAAACTTCACTACAAGCAAATTCAATATGAATTCTGTAGCAAAGAACACCCCCCCCCCTTTCCCTCGCCCCAACGCATAAACATAAGTTTTTGTACATGTACTCAATAATAATAATAATAATAATAATAATAATAATGGCAAGATACTGGGACCAAATGAAAGCACAGATTACATCCAGTCTGGAAAACTGAAAGCAACAATAATAATGAAAATTATATTTAAGTTTCTGATGCTCACATGGCCCAGAAGGACTTCATAAGGTGTAGGCACAGATTTGTGCTTGGTTCAACTATTCTACCCTCGCTGTCTGGTTTTCCCAGTAAAAATCAGCTCGGTTTGTCCCAGTAAAGCACTATGCAGATTTGTATTCATTTTACAGTAAATTGTTTATATTTAAGCGTCACCAAATTTACAATAACAATCAAGTTATCCCAGCATCACGTGTAGAGCAAAATAATTAAGTTTTTCCTCCCCCAATCCCGTTGCCATAACGACCAATCTCAGAGCATGTTGGGAATAGTTATTTCAAAGTGCTAAGACATGTTTTTGTTTGTTTTTTTAAAGAAAAAAGTATTGCACTACTCATGAGGTCTTAACTGATGTACAGATGCATGCTTAAATGGCATAGTAACTGCAGCATGGGCTGCTCTAAGCAAGTGTGTGAGGATGCATGTGGGGGGCTTAGGAATACATTCCCACAATAACGAAAGCTCAATGGCCCATCTCACTATAAGCGAAGCTGCCATGACTCCATATTTAGCAGAAAGGGTCCTTCTGCTAAATATCAAGGGGGGAAAAACAAGAAGAAGAAAAAAAAAAAAAAGGCACGATCATGGACTGAAATGAATGATGCCATTTGGGATTTGAGAGGATTCATTTTGGATGTGCTTTACTTATTTGGGCTGGAGGAGAATACATTGATGGAATGAAACTGCTTCTATCCTGACTGTGGTTTCACTTTGTGTTTGGTATGACACTCCTGAGACTATGCAAAAGTAGCTCGTACCATCCATTGCCGTTTTCACCTACGACGTCTGCAGCCAAATCGGTCATTAGTCGGTCTTCAGCCTGCCGGCTCCCAATTAGAAAGTCAGTGAAAAAGCATAATCAGTTTTCCCGCTGCATCTACCTAAAGCACGCTCTGCATGCCTAAACCGCAGTTCCAGTGGTATAAGCACCCCCCTCAGGTCTACATGTGAGAAAGGACAGTGGTGGAAAAATATCCCAATCTGACTCTCCCAAAGCTCAAACATTTATCACGACACACCGTTACTCAACATAGACACGCTTCCAAAGTGAACAGCCATGGTAATGGTTCAAGCAATTTTACCCCAATTTTTCCCAACCGCACTGAGAACAATTTGTCCAAGAACACATGAAACAAGATGGCAGCCACAGTTCCGTCTCATCCGAGGTGGCATTTATTATGGCAAAGAAACACTTATGAAACACTACAGCAGCAGTTAAGGAAAATGAAAGAGCAGTTTTTTGGACTGTGTGTCCATGTTAAAAGGTTCAATGGGATAAAGTACTTTTGGGGAAAAAAAAAAGCAAAAAAAACCAAAACTTGGACCTGATCTCACGCATGTAACACCACTGTGCTGCGCTGAGCAGTTTCTCCACAATGACGTGCATTTTTGGAGACATGTTCAGCAAATAAACCAAAACGTCACATTGCCAGAAACGTCATCATTAAAAACACTATGTCAACAATCAAGCCTTTTATCATCACAGTCTTGGTCTGCCAAAAAGCTATGGCCTAGTTTTTATTTTTATCTTTTGTAAAGACAGCATCTGTGAGGAAGTTACAGTTCCTGGGCTAACTGATCACAAAACATGGCTTGGAGCTAACAGACTTGACTGCAGGAATCACAGGGCTCATGGATGGTTTGGAAGGTCATGGCTGAAGCTCACTGATTGGCTGGGATGAGGCCCTGTCTTTGGGCGTGTTCCAAAATGGCATTGTAGCAGAAGTAGTACTGGTCTGGGGTTTGAATGCTGAAGGCCCTCTGTGTTCTCATGCGGTGCACTGTCTGGCACACGTTAAGTGAGCCTACGTCCTGTAGCTGGGACAGACAGATGTCCAGGGCACAGAAGGTACCTGCCGACAACAGCGGGTTAGTGGCAACACTTTAAGATTACAGACAATGAAACGCTATCATGTTGGTTAAAAGCCTTATTCTCATACAGTCTGATAAACAGACTCATTCAGGAAAACAGAATATTCAGGTTACTCTTTGCAGGACGTTGCTGTACCAAAAAAACCTCCTTGTGATTCTTTTGGCTGCTAGCAGATTGCTGCAGCGACTCACAGTCTGCATCATCATGCAAACTTCTCTGAAAATACTTTGCAACTGCTTGCTCAGTGGTAAGAAATTTTGAAGCCATGCAACGCAAACTAGAAACAGAAGGTTTCCCATCAGAGTAAAAGTTGTGGTTTAGCATTGGAGTCAACACCTTTCAAAAGGCATGACTTTTATTTTGGAGACAAACCCTCTCTGTATGAGTGTCTGCAGACAGGTAGTCAAATCAGGACCAACCGCAACAATCTGCTAGTTACCAAAGTAAGGAGAATTTTTGGTGCAGTACTCGCTGTGTGGCTAGTTCACATACTAACAGCCAGCAACCAGTCTCCAACCACTCAGGGAATATAAATTTTGTGGTTGGTGATGGGTTGCTAAGACTGTGTGACTGAGGCCTTAAAGCACAAGCACACCCATCGTGTTGGTCACTTTACATGCATCTATTCATGCAAGCCATGAAGACGCAGGTACCTGCTACAGTATTCTCACCACTGAAGCAATCTTGCATCTTTTCATTTGAAAAGATGCAAGATTGTTGCTCCATCTAGCTCTGTATAATCTGTGAACGTGAGCTTCTGGATGACTAGATCATTAAAATAGTGGTAAAACTGACAGGAACAACACTTGTGTTCAACCCAGCTGCAGCGACAGCAGACATGACATCAACTTTGCTGTTGGGTGCAGTTTGTGAGGCACTGCACGGTGGGTATAAAACGGCCCGAAGCCCTAGAAGAAGGTTTTTATCCCTGCATCTCACCTGTTCTCCCAATCCCTGCACTACAGTGGACCACCATTGGCGGTCCCAGCGGGTGGCCTGTCCACTGAGATCCCAGAGCCTTGACCATTTTTCTCTGTTGTCTCTTCACAGCTCCCAGGAAGTCAATCAGAGTCACTGCTGAGGTGGGGACGCCGTAGTCGGGCCAGCTGAGGTACTGGAAATGACTCACTTGTCTCTGTTCACATGTCTGAATACACAAATAAAATTTTACAGGTTATACGCTTTATGATAGAAAATATGTACGACAGAAAATGCATTCTGCTTGTTAAAAACCGTTCAACTGAACCAGGGAGTGGAGTACTTTGAACATTTTAGGGAACGCAAAGAATATGATGAGGATATCAATCCCACTGTTACTGGTGCTTTTCAGGCAATGTCAGATTTTTTGGCCGCAACATTAAGCAAAATGTTTTTTCTCACCTCAGTGTTGTGCAGTTCAAGAGTGGTGTGGTTGTAGTGGCTGTGGCGGTCCACCCTCTGGTTCACTACTGCTATGTGGCCATAGACCTCCTGTCCACCTTCCTCCAGAGGCCAGTACTGCCCACACTTTCTCCGACTGCCTTCGTCGGTCCTGCGACAGAGGGTCAGGGCGTATTTGACAAAATTAACACCGATTCAACTTCTAAAAATCAAAACAGATACTTTTAGTTCATCAACTCCATTACCTGGTTGTCATGACAATAACAAGGACATTTTGTTCCCAAACCATCCTCCAGAAATCACCGTAGGTCCTGTCTAGTGGTCCTGCACAATACAAACACCAAAGTCGAAGCAAATCAAAATTACAGTGAGTAAAAATAAATAAAATTAAAATCTGATCCCAGCGTAATGAGTCATACTCATTTAACTGCATGGAGTAGCTCCTTAATGAGATACATTAACCCACAATAAAGACAAACATTCAGCTCATTGTGTAAGACTGCCAAATAATTTTGGTGGTCTTAGCAGTCGTTTCTGAATCATTGAATTACAGCAGTGAAATGTCATCAGAAATCAGGATGACATGATCATTTCTGAAAATAAACAGATTAACTTTGGGCATTTATACAAATCAGTTTCTTGTCACTTCATTTTTTTAAAGTCTAATTCAGGTTATTCCAAAGAACTGGTCTTCATACAGTCAGCAACTGTTAGTCCCAGAAGTGAGCAAAGGTTTTCCCAGCATTCTCAGAGGTGACGGCGTATTTATGGACACAAGCTTAAGTAAGATACTACAGAGGTCTTCAGGTGCACGGTCATTAGTGTTACTGTTCTTCCCACTGATCTTACAAATGTTCCTAGAAGCCTAGGGATTCCTGTAGTGAGAGAAGAAATGTTGCACTGCAAGTAAAGTTTTGTGCAAGGTTGGGTGGTGAGCGCGTTTTGGTACATGTTGCAAAACCATCAGAAACTGGTCGTATCAGTGCATGAGTGATTATTCTCACTCCCGGCTGTTCAAATACAATTCTACCTGAACTACAGTGTTAAAAAGAAATTAAGAAAGGAGGAACACACTGAAAACACATGAGATCTTAATGTGGGAAAAAAAAACAAAACAACAACTCTGTACTGTGTTAGGAATGAAAGGGTGCTACATCATTGGCTGGAAATGATAATCTACAGAGGGCTGAATTCTAAGAAACCCTGGAGAGAAAAAAAGAAAACAAAAAACCCCAAACGAAAAAAGTGATACAGTGTTGATACAGCAGCTCAAGAGTACTCAGTAGTTTGTATGGCCTCCATGTGATTCTATGCATGCCTGATGACATCAGGTACTCACCACCAAACCAGTCACGGTGAACGATATTACAGGCAGCACAACATTCTCCCATTCTCCACACCCTTTCATGTTTGTCACATGTGTTCAGGGTGAACATGCCTTGATCTGTAAAAAGCATGGAGTGTGATGGACCTGCCAATTCTGGTATTCTGTGGTAAATGCCAATCGGGTTCCACGGTGCTATGCACCTGTCAGGCTCTTATAGCGCCCTCATGATGTCTGTTTCTGATTGTTTGGTCAGACATGTTCACACCAGTGGCCTACGTGAGGTCATTTTTTAATCACCAAGGGGCAGATACCAGTTCTGATGGGTTAAAGGCCTTCTTCAGCCCTGTCCAACTCTCCTAGAGTATCTAGCAGTCTCCTGGAATCATCTCTGTGCTATTGAGACTGTGCTGGGGGACACAAACCTTCTGGCAATGGCACACATTGATGTGGAATCCTGGAGGAGCTGGACTACCTGTGCAACCTCTGTAGGGTTCAGGTATCACCTCATGTTACCAGCAGTGACACTGACAATGCTTTGAGCAGTGTACATACCTCCTAGTAACATTTTTCTCCTTGTACTTTTAAGTGTTTATATAAAACCTTACTCCAGAAGAGTTCAATTAATCAGAAATCTGCAGTAACTTACTGTAGAGTAATTAGAAATACACCTTTGAAAGTATTAACTTCTGTTATTATAATATTTATTTTATTGGGCAACAAACTGTCCACCTCAGCTTACTGCCACTGTCCACTTCTATGCTTCAGTTACATTTATTGCCATTTATGACACAGCAGTGGTAGTAACAGTGCCCACTTAGACTGATGACCAAATGTCCTCATTTAAAAAGGTTCCTTTGTAGTCACACACTTATTTGGCTGTAGGGTCCACTTAACATTACTGATGATATCAGTTTGGCTCATTAACAGGACTGCAGTGTTATGCCACTGGCATAACACTGCAAAACAGTCCTTTTAAATAAATTAACTTGTCGTACCTTGAGTACCAATGTAGGCATTCTTCTGTTTGTAGCCGTCCATGAAACTCGCATTGATGTAGTCTGATCTCTGTGAGAGCAACAAAACTCAGTCACAAAAGGTCAACAGAATGCCAAACACATCATGTCAATTCAACTGTCGGAGCATTAGAGACTTTAGAGGAGAAAATCCAACAGTTTGGTTACACGTTTGCTTTATAAGCTGAGTACTGGGAGAGCAGTAGCCAGTTAGAAGTTTTAAGCTTGACAGCTAAGAGTGACCATGAATGGAACTGATCAAATGAAATGCACATTTTTTAAAACAGCATTTACCTCATTCTTTCTGGGTTTCAAACGAACTCTCGTCTGATCAAGGCACAACACGTCGCCGTAGCGATTCTTCTCCTGATTGTAGGCTGCTCTGTAGACAAAACAAAAGTTTAATGCTGCCGCCCAATGCGGTGTACAATTACAATAACAGTCGACACACACTGAACTAAAGTTTTGCTTTTCTGGTCATGTGCTACTTAGTTACATGTGACATTGAAGTGAGGTCTATAATTTATAGAAGACTTGAAGAATTTATAGAAAACTAGAGGCTAAGTATGCAAAATGAGGTAAAAGATGCAGTCACCAAGCACAGCTATACATTCCACTTTATAAATGCCAATAAGGAACAAAACAAAACATTCTGAAAATATTAGAAAGGTCATCTATTGAAGTCGGGGTTAAAGGACATGCTGTGGAATAGATTACATTACAATGCTACTAATTTTTGTCCTTCCCAGAATGCACGCTGCACCTACAGCATAAAAAGATTACAGGTATTAATAAACTAATCTTTCTGGCAGCTCCGCTCAGCCAGACAGAATCAGATTTTAAAGTGAGCACTGAATGTGCGCCTGCTGCTCTAAACTCACTGTGCACAGTGGAAGGTTCCGGGTGGTGCTTCTTTGCGTAGCTCCTCATACTCCTGATGGATGCCCGTGCGCTGTAGCCTGCCGAGGTGCGTCAGCAGCTCCTGCGGGCGCATGGACTCTGGTCCAGGGACGTGAATGGAGGCATCTTCAAAGGGGATGCCCACCAATTCATCCACAGGGTCTATTCTGCCATTCTGGCCCGCCAGTAGCTGCTGGTTCCAGCTGTACGCGTCCAGAGGCAGCAGGCCACCAAGGTGCTGAGGCAGACAGTCTCTGGGGAGGTGCTGGCGCAGCTCGGCCATTTTTACCATCTGAACCTGGAGTTAGGAGAGACATAGACTGAGATGGATTTGTTTTTACCCTCAAGGAAAACGGCATAAAAGGTCAAAGGCACTCTGCCCGTGAGTTTAACCTGTTAGCACTACCATATCTTGAAGGCAGACTACAATAACTGGATCTCATATAGGGTCTTGTGCACTTTACATAAATGTGAAAATGCTGCAGTCTTTCTACAGCTGGCATGCAAATACTTGTGTCATCTCACTCAGTTAGGAACCTGCGTATAGGGCTGGGTATCGTCACTGATTTCTAGAATCGATTCGATTCCGATTCACAAGGTCCTGAATCGATTCGATTTAATTCGATTTGAATCTGGGAAATTTTGCCTCAGACAGTCAGAAATATTATAATTCAGATCAGTACATTTACATATTTTTGTATCTATAAAAAGGAAGCTGACACTCGCAAGACTTTATCAAAGGTGTGAGCATCACAGCAGATGCTTCTGTGTCAAAGTAGCTGAAGATAAAACACAGAAAAACATGAAGGTGACTTTCCTGGCCTGGGATTTTATTAAAATATTCTGCAGTACATCAAAAACGAAAGAAAACCATTAATCAACTTATGAACATTACCTCTGAAGTTACAGCGGTTTTATTAGAGACACAGCTGAGCGTTTTGCATTTTGTATAATTTTAAAAAGTTTTAATTTGTTCAGAAGCCTGTTGAACAGCAGAAATTAGGTTCTCTTTTCGGAAGTAAGTAAAAGGGTAAAAAAATAAAAATAAAAAAAAATCGGCCGACAGCGCTGTAAACAACGGTTGTCTTGTGCGTAACAAGCAAGTGAATAGTGCAGAAAACAGATTTCGGGGATAGACGGGAAACTGTTCTTGAAGTACACTGAGAAAGAGAGAGAGAGCTGTGCATGAAGTGTGATTTTATCGTGGTGGAAGCAAAACAGCAAAAGTCAGAGGGAATTCATGACGATGTTTATGTGAAGCTTAGTTTGGATCGTGTCCGTGCTGTCCGGTGAGAAAGGAGACATCTCACCGATTCTGATCCGCAGGTCCGCGCAGTGTGTTTACGTCTTTGTGCAGAAGCCGTGCACCTGCTCTCATTTACTGTTTTAAATGTTTGGTGGTTGTCAAAATTTTGTGATGTTTCACCAGAGATTTTGGCATTTTGGGCAAAATACATTTATATAAAATAACGATTCAGGATTTTAATGAATCTATATCACGTTATCCAAGCCAGAATCGATTTTAATCGATGAATCGATTATTAAAACCCACCCCTACCTGCGTATGTAAAATTGACTTCATGATATGGAACCAATTAAAAAAAGCAACAGGATACCATTTGTTTTAAGCCTGCTTTATCCTAAATATCAGTTTTTCTCCTACTCTTGGCATAAAAATAAATACATCCCGTGCACAGTGGCTCTTAAGAAATCCATGCTAATAAAATAATGACTGGTAATAATGTAGGAGGTATCCTGACTCCAGTGATTCAACATCTCAAGCATGTGTGAGGCAGGAGGATAAGCAGTTAAAGAATCTCATAATCACAGAGCACAGTTGGTACACCGAATCACTCACTGCCTGCCATTTGAGGAGGGAAAAAAAAAGAAAAAAGAAACAAAACAAAACAAAAAAACCCCAAAAAACGACGCTTTTGCCTTCCCTTACTTAATAAATTATCATAAAAATGAAGCTGAAGAGCTACTTTGAGAAGTAGTCAAAACATTTACCCTCTCCCTCAGTTTCTCCTTGAGAAGCAGGCTGAGCAGATTGTAGGGCACTCGAAACCACACCGGGGCACCTACGATCAGCACCTTCTTCAGCCTGGCAGGGAATGCCCCCTGGTGGACAAAGATGGTAAATTACAGTAAACCAAATTCTTTGTTTAGAACTCACATTTTAAATTTTATGATTATATTCATTAATATATTGTAAATTAAGGGGCAACCTCTCCTGTGTTTAGAGTGTAAACACAGGAGATAGTGCCAAGTTTATCTTATGGTACTTGTGCATCTAGGTATTAAGTACACAGTATGTGTACTGTATGTGACTGAGGACAACAGCTGCTCCAGAGAGATCAATATGTGGGCACAGAATACATCCCGCTGCTGCTGATGTGACCACATAATAGTCCGTGTTATTGACTCCAGCGGACATACTGCTACATGTTTAAAGTGTAACTCACTTAAATGCAGGCAATTGCAAAAATAAGTACCACTGCCACTGCATATGGATTAAGTAATACTTTAAAGGCTATCAACTCACACAGTGAGCCACTCATTTGCCTTTTTGGACATTTACTTAAATCCTGGAAGACAAAACACCCATAAATAAATCAGATTACTACTTTCTAAGATGGAAATAAATGTGCAGTTAGTCGTTACTCTAGCCCTGGAAAGGAATGAAGACTTTCAGCAATGAAAGTACTGTTTACATCTGGTCCTGTGAATAATCCGAGCATGTGCATCTCATTTTTGATGTTTACAGCACCTATTCACTATACTGCACTGAAATCCCAAACCTTGAGCAAGTTGAGAATCTTCTTGCTGAGGTCCAGCTCAAAGTTTGTGTAGTTGGAGCCTGCCATGTCATAGATGAACACTAAGCCATTCCTCTGAGTCTCGAAGCTGTGACACAAAAACAAAAAGGAAAAATCCGGTTTTTGATATCTTCATTAGGTCATTTAACTACTACCCGTGCTGTCAAGTGGAACTTATTCCCCACACGGCAGATAAACGTCATTTTGGGGAAGACTTAAACAAGTTCCAGTAAGACTGTCTTTTCATGTGCAAAATTTGAGTCATAGGATTCCTTCAAAGAAAAGAAACTTTCACTGAAATAAAGCGAGTGATGTGTTTAGTAAGACGTTTAAAGGCTACAATGCCACACTATGCAGTATTTCAAGGAAAAACAAATACCCAGTACTTTACCCGATACTCTCACCAAAAATTAAAAACAAAATGTGACCGTTTTGTTGCAGCTTCATTCACTGAAATCCACGTTCCTCACCTTTCCACAGCCCGATCCAGGAGGTAGAAGAGGGCCTGAAGCACCACATGGTTGCCTGTCTTGTTGGGGTGATGCAGTTTGGCTGTGTACAAGGCGATGGAGGCCCCTGAAGGGTCTCGTACACTCTGAAAATACACAAGCACACAATACTGGCAGGTTATCATTCAGCAGAGCAAAAGCAGTTTGTCACAATTTTCCAGGCAACTGCTGCCCCCCCACCCTGTACTGAATTGGGGATTGTTTATTAGTACTGGGTTCATTCTGTATTGTTTAATGTGGAGTTATGAGCAAGGCGGCAGAAAATAAGCAAGATGGACACACACATAGAAATACCAGCCTTATTCTGAATATCTTTATATCTAGCATTCAAGTTTCTCAAATGCATGAATTATGATGCCATTCTTAGAAACTGTGTGGTTTCTGAAGGAGTTTACTAGAGCTAAGTGTGACAACAACACCCAAACAGAAGTGCAAAAAGAAAGAATGGAAAAAGAAAAATGACCACAGGGGGGCACTTTGGTTCACATGCTGGCTGGTTGCCAGCTCAGAGAAAGGGCTGTCAACAGTTCAACAGAATGAACAATTGTTGTCATTACTGATGCCGCGGGTCTTGGATCTCTTCATTTTCTTCCTGGGGTAAAGACAGAATGCATTTTCTGAGCCAAAGCTGAACTGTGCTGAGAATGGGGGTGCCCGGGGATCCGAGGCTCTTCACTCGAGTGGAGCTGGTGACCAGAGATCCTCTGGAAAAAGCTCCTTTGTAAGTAAATAAGCCTGTATTCTCTGGCACGAGGGCTAAAAATACACCAGACAGGATGTGAAGCCCGCTGCCGAGGCTGGAGAACTCCGACGTCAGGCGAGAGGATGTGCAGCATCAATGCCGCTGTGGCACGTCAGCGGGGAAGGAAAAAAGGGAAATGCGGGAAAATGGGAATCTGTGTGTGCGCGTGTGATTGCATGTGTGTGCGGTGGAAGTCGGCATCTTTAACGGTCACAATTTGGCTGACAAAAGGCCAGGAAACACACTTGGAACGTCAACAAATAGCCTGCACCCCAAAAAGCACATCAGGATGAGGGCTTAGTTTTTGAACATTCAATCTAAGGAATGAAGTAAAGTCATTGTTATTGTTGTTAACGCAGCAGCATTAGAAGCCTGATGAAAAGACACACAAACACTAAACGTCACTGGAATCACTGGGATGAGGTACGTTGTAGAAATTGACTAAACATATACACACACACACAATATTAATACACAACATTTCCACGTGGGCACGTTACACATTACACCTTGAATGAATCTAAAAATGTGGAGGATATTTCAGGAACGCACTTACCAACACAGTGAACTTTCCACTGAGCAGCTCGGACCGCAGAGGCTCCTCCTGAGGCTGAAGTCTGACAATTCCTTCTTTAAGACGCGTTTCCTGAAGAAAACAGATCACAGCAGGTGAAGGCAAGCTGTGGGGCAGCTCTAACAGGCCGTCACTTTGAGGTGAATTCCTTTCTGAACAATAGTGAATCACCTGCCTGGCTTTCCTGCCAGGAGGATTCCTCTCTGCTAGCCCCCCCTTACACTTTCTGTGGAAAGTCTTAAACTTCAGCTTAGGCGTGTCTTTTCAATTATAGTTGATCTTACAGACTTATTGTGAACAATATTAAACTAGAGATACTTTGAGTTCCCGCTGTTGAAATTGGCCAAATTAAAACGCCTCCTTTAGTTTTAAATGAAGCTTTTCTACAGATTGACGGGAACTGCTGCAGCTCACGATTTCTCTGCAACCCTTTTATTCCTTTTAAGACTGTAAGCACTCGGGTCTTAATGGTAACGGATGTACAGATTCAGACTTCACTAGACTGCCATTACTCCATGAAATACGTCAGAAGAAAACTGTAGAGTTACATATTAGAACACTCCCTTTCCACAAAAAGCATTCTTGGTTAAACCGTACAGCTTTCCTGAAGTGCTTACTTGCCACTCTAAAGATGATTGAAGATTTATTTATTCATTTATAATTATTTATATAGCACCAACAACAGTTGCTTCATGGTCTTTATACTTTAAGGTAAACACTTTAATTATACAGAGAAAATCCCAACAATCAGACAAACCCCTATGAGCAAGCACTTGGCAACAGTGGGAAGGAAAAACTCCCTTTTAACAGAAGAAACCTCCAACAGAGACAGACTCAGGGAGGGGCGGCCATCTGCCACGACTTGATCCAGCTCCAACTATATAATTTATCAAAAGGGAACGTTTTAAAGCCTAATCTTAAAAGTAGAGAGAGTCTCTTCCCCAAATGGGTCTGAAATCTGCAGGCTCTGCATCCCAGTCAACTTTTAAATATTCCAGGGACCACAAGTAAACCTGCAGGGTGAGAATGAAGTGCTCTATTGGGGTGATATAGTGCTACGATGTCTTTAAGAGAATATCGTACCAATTTTGCACTCCGTCATATAACAATCTGTGGCCTCAGACCGTAAACACAGGGGGTGATCTGCGAGGCGATTTGTTTTTTTAAAACCGGATACTTGCAAGATGCTACATTTTCTATGACCCACAACTATTAAAGTTTATAGATAGTAACCCTGACAGCAAAAAGACTTCAGAAAATTTGTCGTGTCCCCATAATTAAACCCCGACTAATAACCCCCTGCATACTGCAATGCATTTCCTGTTTATTATTTAACATCATCACAGGGAAAAACATGTTTTTGTGCATTTTAAAACCTCACAGTAGCATCTCATTGTACAATAGGAAATGAACAAGTGGCAAATTGATCCTTGAGGTTTATCATTTGCCACATTCGCGGCACTAAACCAGGTTCGATGCTTCATTTTATGGCAACACTTAAAGCAGACCTCTCATTTCCCTAACCCTCCAAACAAACAGCGCACTGGAAACTTTCCCTCCAAGCCCCCTCCCTTCCCCCATTCTCCTAACGAATGACTTGTCCCCAGCCTCGTCCTGGTGCTGACGCAGCATTAAGCTGTGTTAAATGAGCTGCAGCGTGGTAGGGGAGACTAATCCTTCTTAAAGTCACACCGAAGGCAGTCATGAGCGAGCCAGCTACTCACTGGTGAACGCTACCTTGATGACTGAAATGACTTTACAAGAAAAGGACGGTGCCACAACTACAATCATTAAGAAGTTAGAATTTGTGTGAAACTTGCCTGGCAACTTTTTGTTTGTCGATTTGATAAATGCCATTCTGCATGTTCATATTTGGAGCAGTATTGACATTTAGAGGGTAACCCCCCCAAAAAACAAAACCTGCAGTAGGACCTGATGCCCTGAAAGTTTCGCCTTTATCAGTTTCTGGCTTGATAGTCATTTCACCAGATGTCCTTTCTGTGACACGTAGTGTCAGGCGAGTCCTCAGATTCACCTAATCCTTTTTTCATTTTGACTCTTTGGTGATCTCTCGATATCCCCGCACCAGAAGATTACACAGCCAGCATGCTACAGATATACAGTATGTTTTTGAACTTTTTTCACTGCATTTCTCCCCAGGGAGGTGGCTAAGAGCAAAACAAGCAAACAGGAAGCAAAAAAGGAGAAGATCAGCCATGTCTATTTGACATGAATAGCTGTCATTTGCCTGTTATGCTTCAAAAAGGCTCCAAAATACAAAAGACAAGATCACCCCCACCCCACCCCCACAAAGTAAACTTAAAAAAAGTCACGTGCCATCTAGTTCACTTGACCTCTAACACAAAGTAGTTACATCCAGCACTATTTTTGTGTTAACATGGTTTAGCATGCACGCCCAACATGTGAAACTTCATGTTCCTCCTTTAGACAGACTTCATAACCTCAGCTGACCAAACCAGCCCCTATTTTGATTCGCAACAAGCTTTCTGGAAAGCTTGAAAAGCCTGAATACCGCTTCTTGAAATATCCCCCGATGTAAAATTAAAAAATAAAATAAGTGCGTGAGTTGGTGTGTGTGTCAGGCCCCGAGGTTTGTGATGCATCTGCTCAGGCCATCTCTTGCTTGGCAACAGCCTCTGAGGAAATATGCTCAATGAAAAAGGGCCTTGTGCTGCCATTTCTGGGCACAGTGAAGGCACCCCACACTCGTCAACCAAGAGGGACGCTTGTTGTCAACTGCAGCAGATTTTATAAAAACTACACAGAAACCCAGAATATAGCACTAAGTGTACATTTTCTTTGGAACAAGTCAGTAAACTGTAGTTATACGTCAGAAGCAACATGTTACAGATTCATAACAGTCTGCTGCTCTCAGTTAGAAATCTAAATTTAGAGCAGCTATTAACTGGAAACCATCTTTTCACCAAAACAACTGCAATAAGCTTGAGATGAGTCAGGGCTTCAATTTTTTTCCCCTCCTTTAAAGGAGCTAAACCTAACCTAACGCAGGGGGCTTGTTTGGTTGCAGTTTGACCCTGGCTGACGGAGGCGCAGCGTCACATATCACATCATTGTCACTAAGGTGTTCTTTCACCTGCTTGTGACCTTAAGCAAAGCAGAGGAGCGGCCTTATAAAAACAGCACCCATCTGCACAGCCCACAGTGACAACACTAATCCAATCTCTGCCTTTAGCTGATCTCACCATTGTACCATAAGGATGTGTGCCCCCCCTTCAAATGTGGGATAAATTCGTTTCAGGATTTTTCTTATTTATTTTTTTTAAATATACCCACACTTTGAGATTTTGGAGTAGTCAAAGTGCGAATTAAAACTTGCCAACCACTTAAATTGTGTTTAGTTTGCCCGGCGTTTTCAGTTTCTCTTAGATTGAAAACTATTTTGTTCTAAACCTGAAAAAAAACTGAATCTGAAATTTATTTATAAAATTTCAGGTGAGATCTGGGGAAGTTTTTTTTTGTTTGTTTTGGTTTTTAATATTGCTGGGAGGGAGAGAAAAATGGGAAAAAACCCCAAAAAAACCCCCACTTATACTGAATGTTATCTATTGCGTTTAAGTGTTTCGAGCTCTAGCCACTCCCGTGTGTGTGACACAGCAAACCCAGGTGAAATGAAAGATAACATTGTTCGGTTATGTAAATGAAATCAAAACCTTGCCAGGACAAAGCCAAGAACAGCCTTGTATCAATGCACCCGTTTAACAAGCTTAAACATACATGGCAGGTATGTTTTACACAACCGTAGCACTGTTGATACTGAACTGTATGTAGGACCTGTTTAAATACTATGTACTAAAAAAACAAACAAACAAAAACCCTCCAAAACTTCCAGCTTCATATTCAGTGTATCCTCAGATTTAATGGGGACTTGTAAACTTAGCTGTAGGCTGAAATTACAGTAGACTCCTTCAACTGAAGGCGATGAATCCACAGCAGCAGAGGGAGGACAGAGGAAAGGGCTGATAATGACTGATGCCCTTACCCTGTAACTGTGGAACAGCTCGATGGCTCGGAGGACGTCAAACTTGCGAGCCATGAGGAACTTGACGGCCAATTCCCTGGACAGCGGAGACACTCCATGCTGACTGGTCCACTTGTTGATTTCCTCCAGAAACTGCCTGGTAGCCTGAAACACACACAGATGTTGTCAGAAAACTCTGCTGTCCCAAAATCTGAGGGTCAAGCAGGAAGGAAGTGAAACTGGGGGTTTGAACTTGATACATCCTCAAAGGAAGTGCTATCTACGGCCCCAGAGATTATTTGATGCAATGTTATGGCCTGCTGCAGTGGGGGATATGCTGCTGTATATCCTTGAGAATGAAGTAAAGAATGTAGCAACAAGCAGAAAGAAGATGAAGTAAACATTTACACCAAAATGAACACAAAAGTGGAGTGACACATGCAAATGGACACGTGTACATTACGGGGAGACATTTGTTGCTCGAAATAAAACTCGCAGCCTGAAGCATGAGCTGGGGAAGATAACCGAATCCTGCAAACTGGTGTTTATGACATGAAGCTGCTTTAATGACAAGGCTGCACAGACTTTTAATAGTACTTGGCAGTGAAATTACTTGTCTAGCTGTGGAGCACCAGCTTTTTTTTTTTTTTTATTATAAAAAAACAAAACAAAACAAAAAAGCCCACACAACACGGGTAAGTCATGTGTCCTGAGCTTGCTCGAACTGAAAGGTGTGTGCCTTGTTCCAAGAAATGGAACTGCGTGTCAGCATTATTCTTTCAAGAGAAGATGATTAATTGGCCATCAAACTCTGCATCTGAGGTGAAGATGATAATTGGTTTCTTAGGAAATCTGGCTGCAACTACAGGAAAGAATCTCTAATGGACCGAAACAGAATGGCAAGAAGCGTGAAAACAGCAACTGATGTTATGATTACTGGGGGTTATCTGGCATTAATGCCCAATATTTGCTCCCCTTTTGTGGTCTCTGCTAACAGTAAGGGAAACATCTGGCTCTTTAGCTCCCAAACACTCCATATTTTCACTAGCCTTTTGTTAACTTTGTCTATGTGCCACATGGTGCTGAGCAGGTACAGCCAGCTGAAAACTGCTGCAGCCAAAAATGACACCATGAGTGATGAAAATGAGCCAAAACACGAACGCTGCATGCGCCAACTCCATAAAGCTCTGCACAGCTGCAGGGAACTGCAAACTCACGGCACTCCTCTGTGGGATCGTCACACGTGATGCCTATAAATATGTTTTTATAACTTCCTTAAGTAACAAAGTTCTCTCCCTTTTAAAAAGTGTGCTTTCAGCATTGTGATACCTTTAATGTCTTGCTGGCTTCATGCTGCACTTGTAATTTAGAAAAATGTGTTTAACTTCGAGGCCTTCAGCTCATCTTGGAAGTAACTTCTGCATTTAGCCTGCAGTCATTCAGGGGCTTCCTGCCTCTCCCCTCTTATTATATACACTCCCCCCCCTCCCCTTCCAATCTCTGCATTAGCGAGTCAGCACCAAGTGAATCCTTCAAAAAGACGACAGGAGGAGGCAATGAAAGCTCACGCTTTCAGAAAACACAGGGTTCCGCTTTTCTGCTCAGGCACGGCAGCAGTGGGGCACGCTCGGGAGACAGGAAGTCAAGTTCAGGGAATCCGCGGCTCTTCAGGAATACAGAACGATCCCTGATGAGCGCCGAGCCTGAAGACAGGATGCCACTGTCTCCCCTCGGCAGAGCTAGTGCTTTCAAAAGCAGGAGGGCCTGCAGCTTTTGCTCTGTTCAAGAGGCCTTAGCATGCAAGGGATGAGGGATGATTGCACCTGACAGGGCTGAGGCCTGTTGACATCCGATTCTCATGGGAAAAAAATGTGGAAGGGAAGCGGGGGAGGGTATAATGAATTATGAGGTTTTCACTGTAGAGAAGATACAATGTGTCATAAAATGTGGGAATGGCCAACAGAGAAGAGCAAGGAAAATAAAAATCCTGGAATGAGCCATTAAGATACACCTGCTGCGATACTTCTGAATGCATGTACTTCATGGTACTTTCTTCTGAGCAGCTGGGGAAAAGCTGCCGACACAAAATTACTGCAAACTCATTAATGTGTCCTACACAGACATGCAAACAAAAAGGGGCCATTAAGGGTCCATTCCTCTAAATGTTTGCCCCGCCACATGCCTGCCTGGAATTCCTGCCACGGAAAAGTGACAACCGTGTCTGCAGATTTCTCTTGTGAATCCAGTATGCCAGATTCCAAACAACAGGGTTTAGAGAGATGGAAAACAAAAAAGAAATCTGTCCATTATTGGTCCAACAACCAGAAACAAGCGAAACCAATAAGGTCCTGTTTTGGACCACGGAGCTAGGTCCAGTTTACCCAGCGCACATCGCAGATCTGTGCGATACACAAGCAGTGGACTTCGGACTAGTTTGTTTTGTTAGATATACCTCCATTAAAATATATTGGAAATATTTGCAGGGAAAACTGTGATAAATCTACTCAGCGATAACAAGAAAAAAAAAAAAATCTAACATACATGCGATCCGCAAGTGGGCTTGACAAGCGAAGTCCTCAGTCAAAGCAAACGCATTTGACGCAACTCGCAACTTTAAAGAAAATGATCCAGATTCATAACATTTATTGGCTTCTTCCTCTGGCCGCCACCTCTCCAGCACATTTCATGACATTCAACGTGGGATGTTTCCTTTGCTTTGGCTCCGAGTACAGCTATTTCCTAATATTACAAAATTCTAGTCTACAAATCTAAAAGCACAACAGGTATTTAATATGGGCCTTGTGCTCTTTGTTGTTGCTGCAACGTTAAGCGTTTGCGCTCTTTTGTTGGCCAAAGACAGCTTCCTGTCAGGTTACCTTCAGGTACACTCAGGTTTCCAAAAACTTCAGCGGTCTGACAGCTGCTCATAGCCTTTTAAGGACAGCCTGCCAACTCCAGGTGGTGACCCTGTGTTCCAGTAGAAGCCAGTCTTGTTTGGCTTTTCTACACTGGGGCCATATCTGCCAAGAGTGGAATGTGAGGATGAACCAGTTTGTTTTCATGATAGCACACCGGATTGCTGTGGAAGACTCACTGCAGAGGAGTGACTTATTCAATTCCTGGAGGATGCATAAATATTTGGCTGACTTGCCCCACTTTTGAAATAACTGGAGATTTTCTTTTTTCCTTGAAGTTCAATTACTTAAAAAAAACAAACAAAACAAAAAAACAAAAAAAAAAACCCCACACCACTTGATTCGAGCTTATGTGTCCTGCCATAGCCAGAGGGATTTCTGTGAGCACAGAATGAGTTTGTATCTAGTCACAAGTCATCCTGACTGCAGAGAGAAACATTTTCTGGCCTGACGTTACATAATCCTGTTTTTGTTGTGAGTGTTGTTCGCTGGTTGTGGCGGACGATGACAGACAATAACTAATTGATCAGATTTGCTGTGGTTGCGACCTCCTGTGTTGGGAGTTAACTGATGAAGTTGTGATTGATTATTAGCGCTAAAAGCAAAGATCCAGTTGTACAAACATGTTACAACACCCCACCCTAAAGGGGTCACTGCTACAGGAAGATGTCTGCTATAGGGAGAAAGGGGCTATAATCAGCAGCAGTCAGGAGTTAACAGATTCAAGAAACTAATGAACCATGATATCACTTTCACACCTTTATAATGCTGCACTTTGCATTGTGGAAATCATTACTGATAGCAGCATACTGGCAATGCATTCATTTAGTCAGCATTTCCACTTTGACAACTGAAAGTTGATTAACACACATTATCCTCTACACTCCTATTTTCTGTGTGATCCAAATGTCATGCCACACGACTATTATTATAGTACATTCCCCTACATTCATTGACAACCTTTATTCTATGCTGCTTCAACCCACGTTCTTCTAAGACTAAGGCTCCTGCCACAACTGCCCACCATGCTACGAGCATGCATGTTGAAAAAGTAGTTCATCAATAATGACTAAATAATCTTGCAATTTATCTCCAAGGAACAACGTCGTGGTAAGCTGCAATTACCATCCAATACTGCTATACTTTTTATGTGAAGGTAACTCCAGGGTGACTATTTTGAGCAACAATGTTGCCAATCAGTTATCGTGATTACTTTCTATTCATTTTTGTGAATAAAACATCCCAGTCACATCTTCCTTGTGTCTGAGTTAAGATTAGGGCTGCCAC